ATAAGTGTTTATATTCGGACTATTTTAGGCTGGTTCTGGTAGGAACCGCTGCGGAGTAGCCCAGCACCTGCGTGATTCGCCATAGACATAAACAGAGAGAAGTAGCGCCGGCTACAGTGTTCTTCCGCAAGACGCACGCAGTTCTGCTTATTAACCGCTAGAGCGCCAAAAGTTACGGACTGCAGCTTTAAATATTTGGTAATGTTAAATATTATGCAATTTTATATGAATCTTCCCCTAGATATGAACCTCAGATGGAAATTCCCAGTGATGTTGACACAGAGGCAGACAGAGTGTTTTTCATCAAAGCTGTGGCTCAGTTCATAGTAAGCTATATTATTATTATATACATGTCAGCGTGAAGAAAGTATATGTCAAAATCACTGTATGTTCTCTGTGTTTCTCTAGGCGACTAAAGCTCATGTGAAGCTGAATCTCAAGCGTCTGTATCAGGCAGATGGTTACGCTGTGAAAGAGATGCTGAAAATCACCAGCATCCTCTACAATGCCATGAAAACCAAAGAGAACACCGATGGGGAACAGAACAATGACGAAAACAGCAAGTTCAAGTTTGATCTGGGGTCAAAGGTTAGTGTCAAATGGTTGATACAGTTTCATCATGAGTTCTATCACGAGCAGACTTTTTGAGATGATGAGTTATCATCATAATTCATTTGTATTTTTGGATGTTTTGTGGCAGATAGCTGATTTAAAGGTGGCACGTCAGCTGGGATCTGAAATTACAGCAAAGGGAGCGGCTCTGTTTGACCTGCTGGGGCACGAAGAGGACCTGAGAGAGAGCAGGACGGCTGCGATAGCCCGACCGCTGGAGATCACTGAGACAGAGAGAGCTCTGAGAGCGGCTGTCAAAGATGTCACGGTAAAACACAAATCCTCACTTAGTCAACCAGCAAGCACAGGTTCAGAAGATCCGGATTTTTTTTATATAATTGCTTTAGTGCAGTGTTTTTTTTTTTTTGTACCTTTTTGACTTCCATTGTCAAAAACAATATAGGAGTAGCAATGTATTAAAATAATCCAGTAAAATAATGATTAATAATTCAAATAATTAAGTTCCAGACGTAGCAGTAACTGAACATTCTTCAGGGCCGTGTTATTTTGATATTTTGAATTCATTTTATTTTTAGATTTTCTGTTTTCATTTTAATTGTAGTTAAAGCTTTAGTAATTTTGTTGTGTTTTTGTCATTTTTATGAGTTTGTTAAAAGAACAGGGTTTTATTCATTTTAATTTATTAGTTTAAAGCCCCGTCCACACAGAGACGTGTTTAGCTGTATACGCATAAATTTTGTATCGTATAGGCGTTTCGTCCACACAGATCCAGCGTTTTGGGAGAGTGAAACCGGGTCCCAGAGTGGATAAATCTGAAAACGCCGCCCTTGCGTTTTCGTGTGGACAGCGAATCCAGCGAATTTTCTGAAACGATGACGTCATCAGCCGACGTCTCGCCCCTAGTCAGACACCGCTACGTCACGTAACAGCAACAAAAACATGAACAAACACTGAACGATTGTCTTTTTATTAACTAACATTAACACAGATTAATAAATGTATTGTTCCATGTTCGTTTGTATACTGTGCACAAGGTTTATGCGCATAGTTTCTTCTCCGTTTTTAATGTATCTCTGTGGCAGAATTACAGCGCCACATACTGGTCTGGCATGTATACTACATCGTTTTGTGTCAGTTTTGTGGTTTTGTGGTTTCGTGTGGACGCAGATATTTCTTGAGACGAGGGGAAAAAAAAGATTGGATAGGGAAAGCTCTGGATGTAGCCTTAGTTTATTTCTTTTAAGACTTACACATTTAAAATAAAAAAATCAGCGACTAGCTGAAATTAAATATTAATGTCAGGGTTTTTCATATTTTATTTCAGTTAATGTTTATTTCAGTAACATTTTTTTTTTATGTTTTCAGGGTCATTTGGGTTTTTTTTTCTTTTACTTACAAATAGCAATTTCTACCCTATAAAATATTTTAGAGCTTTACATAACTAGAACAATTTATATTATTTATAAAAATGCCCTTGACATTTTATGATTTTCTTCATTTTCATGACATTTCCAGGTCTAAAAATCACACTTTTTAAAATTCCTGCATAAATCAAGGTTTTCCAAGCACTTGAAAATGCTGGTACTTAAATAAAACTCGCAGTTGTTGAGGGAATCCATTAAATAAGAAATACGATTTCAGTTTAGTTCTCTTGATTTTTATCTTTTAGCTGATTTTAATGCTTGTTTTGTCTTATTCATAACTCACCTTGAGGCTCCCTGGTTGAGAACCACTGCTTCAGTATTCTAAAACTGAAAGAACTGCCTGTACTGAGAAATAACCTGAGCAAATTCATCTCTAAATGTTGCATAAATGTTCTTGAAGGTTTGTTATGAAAGTCTCTAGAGGGCTATAAGAACTTAAAGTTGCATTCTGTTTCAGGTCAGTTCTTGAAAAGTATGATTTTAGTGCATTCAGCGAGCAGCGTGCTTGAAATATTTACCAAGCAAAAGAACAGGAGATGGAGGAACGTCTTTTGAGAATTGTGATGTTATTTTGGGCTCTGAATGGCATCTGAATGTGTTTGCTCGTCTGTGTTCAGGAGAGCATCCAAATGACAAAAGATCTGCTCAATAACGTAGCATCAGATGAGGCCAGTCTGGAGGCCAAAATCGAGAAGAAGAAACAGGACCTGGAGAGAAACCAGAAACGCTTACAAACTCTACAGAGTGTGCGGTGAGCTAATATTATTGAAATACTATTATAGATTTAGTTAAAATATTGAATTAGATTAACATTTTTATATTCTTCTGGTTTTGTTTTAGGAATTTTGTTGTGTTTTTATCATTTTAAATATTTCTTTAAAATATTTGATATACTTTTTATTAAGTTTATTTAGTTTGAGTTATTTCAGTACTTCAACTTGATATATATATATTATTGCATATATGTTAATGTTTATTTTATTTCATGTTTTTTATGGCTTTAGTTTTACTTTTGGCTTTAGATGCAAAACAAAAAAAGTTTGAAATAATGCACAGACCATTTAGACACTGACATCTCTGACTCTGTTTCATTATGTAGTCCAGCCTTTATGGATGAATATGAGAAGATCGAGGAGGACTTGCAGAAACAGTACCAGACATACGTGGAGAAATTTCGTAACTTGAGCTTCCTGGAGCGGCAGCTAGATGACTATCACAGAGCTGAACAAGAACGCTTCGAGGTACAATCAGTGCAGATGCACCTCAACTTCTCTCTGGTACTCATGTATATAAATCACATCATTCATTTATCCAGCTAAAAATGACAAAGACAACAAGTGAAACCTATCAATTTCACCCAAATTAACTTTATAAAGTCTATCCTGATGCTTCCCTTATTAATCCTCCAGGAAGCGGAGATGGCAATGAAAATGAGACAAAACAAATTAAAAGAGGAGGAGAAGAGGCTCATGAGGAGTGGAGGTTGGTCACACACTCTCACACACACATTTGAACACGTTTGTCAAAGATCTCATGAGTTCTCCTCCTCTGTAGCCAGAGATGAAGACTCAGATGTGGACATACCAGAGGATGAAGGCTCTGACAGTGACATAGACGACGGACAGCAGTCCAGACCACACCACGCACGACACGCACAGATATCAGGTGATCAGCATGTAGCCCCTCAATATCTGCAGCCTCGCTCACACACGTGACACATACGAGTGTCTGATTGTACTTGATTAGTGTTTCTGATGTGTTTCCGCTGCAGGTCGAGGTGGCGCTCGATTCATTGGCAGTATGAGGGGAGGAGACAGTGAAGAGGTGAAAACACACTTTCACTCTTTTTTTTTTATTTTATATTTTCTATAACTTTATTTTTATATTTTCATTTTAATTTTAAATTAATTTTTAGAAATGTTGTTTTTGAGTTTTTGTTGCTATGATGCATACATATATACTGTCATGCAGTGGTGGCCAAAATTATTAGAACACTAGTATTATTTTCACCAGCTTAAAAAGGGTTTGAAGTCAGTTATTTCTATGTTTTTCTGTAGTGTGTCAGTAGGAAATATCAGTTTACATTTTCAAACATTTATCTTGCCATTAATTGTAATAATCCAGTGAGATTTTTATGTGCACACGGACTCTAATAACAGCCAGTGCTCCACACAGAGATCTGATCTGATCATCATCCAGTCTGTCTGGAATGACATGAAGAAACAGAACAAACTGAGACAGACTCAATCCAGAAGAACTGTGGCAACATCTCCACGATGCTTCAAGAAAGCTACCTGCAAAACTATGCGCAGCTGCACCGAGGGCAAAAGCTGCATTAAATGGAAAGGATGCTCACACTAAATGTTGATTTAATTTAGTTCATAGAAGTTAATTGATAAAGAAAATCTATTTATGACATTATTTTTGTATATATATAGTTTTAATTTATTTTTCACTCGTTTTTAGTAATTTTAGTACTTCAGTTGAAACTTACTTCAGTTAGTTGCCAAGGCAGCATTTCTCATTTTTGTTTTGTTTTTTATTTCAACTATTTTTAATAGTTTTAGTTAACAATAACAACACTGAACCAACATATTTTCTTAATTTCTTCTGTTATATTCTTCAGAGTTTTCAGATTATTCAGCCAATCATGGTTTCCTAGGCTTTCTTTCTTCACATTTTCATGTTTTTTCTTCCATGATCTTGCATAACTTGTCTACAGTCATTGTGCTTTCATTTTCTTTTCTCACTATATATGCCACCCGCTCTCATTTCATTCACTCTGTTTTCACTCCATCTCTCTTTCTCTTCCTCGGCACTCGTTCTTCAAGCCCAGAGTAAAGGAACGAGTCCATCTATCCGGCAGCGGCCGGAAGAAAAAGAGAAGAAAGGTGGTCTGTGTGTCAGTGTTATTTTAGTATTATTATGCTATTATAGTGTTTTTAAAACAAATGTATTAGCTTTTATCTTATTAGCTTTTTTGCGTGTCATTTTTTTATAAATTGTTTTATATTTCAGTTTAGCTTTATTTTATTTTTATTCATTTTTCAATTAGTTGCCAAGGCAACATTTCTAATTCTAAATTTACATTTTTATATTTTCTTTTATTCAGCTTTTTTCTCCAATTATGAAAAACAATTTTAAAAGCTTTAGCTTTAGTTAACAATAACACTGACGTGCGTGTGTCTAAATGTGAACACCTGGTGGTTCTACAAGAATTAATTTTGATCATTCTTAATTAGGGATATTGATCGAGCCCCGTTTCCGTTACCCTCCACTGAGTGCTGTGTGTGTCTTCTGCTGTAATTCACAATGTGCTTTGCTTTGCAGTCAGAGGATAGTGAGATCGACGTAGACGATGATGATGAAGATGGTGAGGAAGATGAAGATGAGGAGGAAAACGAGGACCTGGATGAAGACAATGACAGTCTGGAGGGCTCCTCCACCAAACCACTGAGACAGACTCAATCCAGAAGAACTGTGGCAACATCTCCACGATGCTTCAAGAAAGCTACCTGCAAAACTATGCGCAGCTGCACCGAGGGCAAAAGCTGCATTAAATGGAAAGGATGCTCACACTAAATGTTGATTTAATTTAGTTCATAGAAGTTAATTGATAAAGAAAATCTATTTATGACATTATTTTTGACAGCATCCTCATTTCATTTTACAGCATTTTTACACAAGTGCCTAAAACTTTTAACAGTACTGTAGCTTTGCAGGTAGGTTTTTTGAAGCATCTTGGAGATGTTGTTCTCCACAGTTCTGATGATGAAGATGGTGAGGAAGATGAAGATGAGGAGGAAAACGAGGACCTGGATGAAGACAATGACAGTCTGGAGGGCTCCTCCACCAAACCTGGACGCTCAAAACGATCGCTGGACCCACAAATCCTTGAGGAGAGCGATAATGATTTTTAATGTGCAACCAGCATGCATTAAAGGAATAGTTCACCCAAAAATTTAAATTTGCTAATCATTTATTCACCCTCAGGCCATTCAAGATGTAGTTGAGTTTGTTTCTTCATGCTGTGGAGAAATGTAGCTTCCATCACTTGCTCACCTGTGGATCCTGTGCAGTGAATGGGTGCCGTCAGAATGAGAGTCCAAACAGCTGATAAATACATCCACAAGGAATACACATCATGTCATTCCAGACAGACTGGATGATGATCAGATCAGATCTCTGTGTGGAGCACTGGCTGTTATTAGAGTCCGTGTGCACATAAAAATCTCACTGGATTATTACAATTAATGGCAAGATAAATGTTTGAAAATGTAAACTGATATTTCCTACTGACACACTACAGCAAAAGATAGAAATAACTGATTTAAAACCATTTTTTAGATGGTGAGGAAGATGAAGATGAGGAGGAAAACGAGGACCTGGATGAAGACAATGACAGTCTGGAGGGCTCCTCCACCAAACCTGGACGCTCAAAACGATCGCTGGACCCACAAATCCTTGAGGAGAGCGATAATGATTTTTAATGTGCAACCAGCATGCATTAAAGGAATAGTTCACCCAAAAATTTAAATTTGCTAATCATTTATTCACCCTCAGGCCATTCAAGATGTAGTTGAGTTTGTTTCTTCATGCTGTGGAGAAATGTAGCTTCCATCACTTGCTCACCTGTGGATCCTGTGCAGTGAATGGGTGCCGTCAGAATGAGAGTCCAAACAGCTGATAAATACATCCACAAGTAATCCACAACACTCGTATTTTAACCGGAAGCCACGGTTCAAAGTTAAAACACCTTAAAGATGGATTTGTTTCTTACAAACATGTAGTTTTTTTGCTTCACAAGACAATTGATGGAGTGGAGTGGTGTGGATTATTGTGATGTTTTTATCAGCTGTTTGGACTCTCATTCTGACGGCACCCATTCACTGCAGAGGATCCATTGGTGAGCAAATGAAATCGCTCCAAATCTGTTCCGAACAAACTCATCTATATCTTGGATGGCCTAAGAGTGAGTACATTTTCAAAAAGTTTCAATTTTGGGTGAACTCTTCCTTTAAATAGTCATGCATTTGCTTCCAAAAAAAGGTAAATAGACTTCAATTCTTATGTAAATTGATGCATCGACCTGAATGTGACAATTCACATTAAATGTTTTTTTTCATGACACGGAAACAAGATAAATATCTGTAAATAACAAAATGTAATTTCCAGTATATATGAATATACCTTCTCATCTGTATTCAAGTGTAGACGCCTGTTTAATAGCCGTTAACATTCTGAGTTATTTGAATTCATCTGAATGAAAGTTCAGCAAAATTCTTGTATGATGTGTTTTATTAAGGCAACATCTTTGTCAGTTCTGTTTTATAAAATAAGCATTTATTATTACACAACTTTGATACATAAACTTTGGAAATATTTACATGAATAAGGCTCTAAATAAACACGTTGTGGCGAGTCTGTGCGTGTGCTAGATATCCACCACACAATCTGCTGCACCAGCTTTGATGGCGTCTGAGACGACCTTTGCCCCTGACTCCCCGATGCCGTTACCCTGGAGACTGAAGCAGAAATAGGAAATCATGACACACTTTGACACACATCACAGAATCTTACTCAGGAGGATCAATCAAGCTGAGGTGAAATGTGCCATTCACAGCAAAATGGAAATGATCAGTGTTCAGAATCACACCCACAGCCAGTGCTAAACATTCACCACATGTGCCGTGACACACTGTGGTTGAACCTCTCACACACAGGCGGCGGTTCACACATAGACCCACACACACACACATACACACACAGACTGACTTGATGTAGGTGAGCTGATGGTTTCCTCTCAGCGCAGTAGCGATGAAGATCGCTCCATCCATCCCCAGAGAATTCTCCTGTAGACTACAAACACAAATACAGTTTTAACGTTCATGTTTTGTTTTGAGCACGGAAATTCTTTTAGTAACTGAATCCTGAAAAAAAAATGTATGACTGTTTCCACAAAAATATTAACAGCACAGCTGTTTTCAACATTGATAATAGTCAGAAATGTTGCTTGAGCAGCAAATCAGCATGTTAGAATGATTTCTGAAGGATCATGTGACACTGAAGACTGGAGTAATGATGCTGAAAATTCAGCTTTGATCACAACAATAAATAATTTAAAATATATTCACATAGAAAATAGTTCTTGTATTTTTTTTTTATACATACATTTTGCAAATGTTCAAAATTTATTACTCTACTGGATTCCAGTCACATTTCTGCAAAGCTCACATCCATTTTGTGATGAAATGGCTTTAATAACATCTCTCAATTATGTTTTGATCAGAGTATATTATATAGGAGAATAATGTGTTCTGTAGACATACTTCAGACTTCTCAAGCTCCTGTTTTTCTTCAGAGCACTGGAAAACGCCTTCGCTCCTTCCATCCCAATGGAGTTCCCACGCAGACTAAACAAAAATGATAAATATTGAGCAATATATGAGTTTTTAAAGAGAGTTTATCATACACTGTGCCAATTAAAAATTGTTTCTTTTTTTCCTAGTTGTATGCAAAAATATTTTTTCTGTTCAAAGGCTTGGGGTCAGTAACAATTTAGTTTTTTTGAAAGCAATTAATAATGTTATTTAGAGAAGATGCATTCAATTGATCCAAAGTGACGGTAAAGACATTTATAATGTTACAAGAGATTTCTATTTCAAATAAATGCTGTTCTTTTGAACTTTTTCTTCATCAAAAAATCATGGAAAATAGACGCATCATGGTTTCCATGAAAATATGAAGCAGCACAACAGTTTTCAATATTGATGATAACAATAAGAACGTGACACTGAAGACTGGAGTAATGATTTTGAAAATTCAGCTTTGCATCACAAGGATAAACTACTTTTTAAAATATTTTCAAATAGAAAACATACAAAATAAAAAAAAACAATATTTCACAATATTACTGGTTTTTTTTTTTTTGTCTAAAATGCAGGCTGGGTGAGCAGAAGAGACTTACTCTAGTGTATGAAGGCTTTCGTTGACCACCAGAGCATCCGCTAGTGCAACGGCCCCTGATTTCCCTGCTGATACACCCTGAAGACTTCACAACACACACATGCAAGATCAGACACAATCAGCTTTAGCAAACAGTCATGAAATAATGCAGAAAACTGAAGTGAGACTCACTAGAGCACACTGAGAGAAGAGTTTGACCTCAGAGCACAGGCCAGAGCAATGACGCCGTTATCACCCAGAGTGTTCTCCTGCAGACTGACAGAGAAACACACAACAGCTCATCATTCATCGTATAGATATCACTAGATGACAATATATATTTAACAATGAGACGTGCACTTTTTAAAAACAAATATTCATTCCAAACAAAAGTAGTTTTCAGTCTAATGCATTAGAGAGCATTTCATTCTGTAGTACACCTTCCATGTTGTAGCGCTTTCCAAAAAACCCAAAACATGGATCTGAAGAACCTGTACATTCTTGAAAATAAAGGTTCCAAAAGGGTGGTTTCACAGTAATGAACCATGTTTGATTCCTCAAAGAATCTTTCGGTGAACAGTTCTTATTGGAACAATTTTTTTCTTAGTGTTAAGAACATTTAAAAGAATATTTTTCCACTATAAAAAAACCTGGATGTTAAATGCCAATAAAGAACACTCTTAAAAATAAAGGTTCTTTATTGGAATTATTGGTTCCATGAAGAACCTTTAACATCCATGGAATCTTTCCATTCCATAAAAGGTTCTATAGACTTTT